CCACCCCTACCCCCCACTCCCCCCAACCACCCCCGAGAGAGTCTCGGATTGTTTGGGCAACGAGACGAATAGGCAAAATGAGTCGGTGTTTTGGTATTTGTTTACTCTCCTTCCCAACGATTTGGAGAGGGCTTGAAATGGCCCTGGTTGGGCATTTTTGTGCCGCAAAGGTCGAATGCCCGAAATATTTCAACACCAGTTCCCTGATAAAGATCGTGGACCCCCAAGTTATGTGATCACTTCCCACCCAACAGTCTGGCCAATTTATTCACCGGAGTAAAAAAATCAACTTTAAAAATAAATATATGTATATTTTATTTTCCCAATTGTTTATTAAATCGGATGAAAAGAGAAATTACAATGAAGGTATGTGTGTTTTTAGTTAAACTGAAACTATTTAATGCATATTAAATTTAGGCATTATAGCTTTTTAATGTCTTTTTTTTAAATTTTATTTTTTTATTATTAACTTGTTCATAAATGTTTGTAGACTTACAATTATTGATTATTTTTATAACCTTTTTAATTTTTAAATAATCTCCTTTTATTGGTGTTTGTTGAAAACATCAAGTTGGCAAAAATAGGACTTGAAAATAAAAAGGCATTAAAAAAAATTTGAAGGACTGTAGAAAGAGAGGACTTCAATCGGCAATTTCGTGACCAAATGCGTTTCAGGAAAGTGTTGTTTTACGTGAAATGAGGTAGAAGGCATGTTGATGAAGTCTACTGGCAATCATAATCATATAATTATTTTCGCGTATTGCCCACATTACCTATTAGAGGGGAGTGCAAGTGAAGAGTGGGAGAGTGGGAGAGGGGCTGAGAACACGCCTGTGTGTCCAGTTTGATGAGCACAGAACTCGAGACACACTGCGAGAGAATATTATGACCGGAGGAACGGAAGAGGGACTGGGTGACGCCATGTAGGCAAGGCGAGGCAGGGTTACTCAGGGCGGGGAATGACAAGACGTCAAACTAGGCTCAGTTCGTCGATATCAGCCTGCATACTCACGTCCACCCACTTTGCGTTCGACTTTCGGAGCGCCTTGGTAAACATTCAGGTTAATTGACAGCTCCCACCCCACCCCCCACCCCCATTTCTGTTGCCTAAGTGGGAGCACCAAGACAAGATAGGAAATAACTAATAAGGAGTCGAGACTAAGGAAAAAAGGAGGGGCGATGAGGCAATGTCTACGGAGACTCACCCAGCTCTCCATTAACTTCCCAATTGTGATGTCGGTGTTAAGATTTAACTGACATTGACTAATAGCAGGCGAATTGGGTAGGGCACCAAACTTTTCTCTCGCTTATCACTCAACAACTGCATTTCGGCAAACGGTCGTTTTCGAATAAACATATCTATTTTTACAATGATTGAAATGTAATCTGGTCTACCTTGAATAGGCATATTTATCAATACGAAACGACCTAATCGTTAGGCAAAAAATTACAACAGCATAAATTGAATAACAAAAATAATCTCATTTGATGCCTGCTTAGATTAAATTCTATTATTTGCTTTAGACAGCTCTTTGAACAAAGAGCAAATTTGTCAATAGGTGAAATAATGACAACTAATAAAAAAATGGATTTTAACTGGGTTCACATACGTCTTGACGCCTGCGCTACCACAAATGGATGCCTTCTTAATTTGCTGGTGTGTCACTATCATTTTCCCACACCCTTAATACTCCTCTGCTCAGATTATTCCCATAATTGACTTTTTGTTAAGAAAAATCCTTTTTATTTGGGTAACAAAGACATAGCTAATTTCGTAGTCGTTTCTTTTGTCAAATTATCTCGACTTGGCATTGTTACATTGCCAATACTTTAGGCAAACCTTACTATATGTGATACCGATGAATCTATTCATTAAATTCAAATATAATTATTGATTGAATTAGTTTAATAAGTCACTTTTATTGACGAAAAGCATTAACCATTGATTTTATGCTTTATGCTCTTGTTGGTCAACAAGAGACAGCACAATAGAATAGGAGCGACAATGGTTCTCATATCATAACGATTAATTACAGTTGTCACACTTTTAACAGACACATCTTTACAAACACGACTGAATTGTTGATGTCTGTGACGTTGAGAGCTAGACGGTTTTATAACGTGAATAGTCACATGATAAATCGACTATACGAAGGATGAAAGTAAACACATCTTCATTTCACTTACTGAAATGATCGATTAGCCAACTCTAGCCAATGTGCACTTGTGGTTGATCGGTTCATTTTGCAAATACTACGTATGTGGATTTTTTTTGTTATACTAAGTGGATAATAGGCTTCGACGATACTGTACTGAAGCATCTGGGAGGTTTGTTTGACATTTCACAATCAATTCCGCCTTAGCAATGGGTTTATTTGACTTTGTAATGACTGTGAGATGATAGCAATTAGTTTCCGTGGTATAACTTACATTCATTTAAATCAAATGGTCAAAAGACTTTCAATATTGTGGTCATGAAACCATCCAGAAACCCAGAGATTAAAAATCATAGTATTTGAGTTAAAGCATGTTTGATATTACTCCGTAAGAGAGGTATGGATCACTCTATACTTCCAAAATTAAAAAGGAAATCCTATCTTATCTTTGAACCCACCCCCCTCTGGCCACAGGGCCGATTTCCTCATAATTTTTTTTTAAATTTCAGATCCTAATTCATTGCTAAAACTTGTGAAAATTCGTTTTTTTTTCACTTTCCATTTGATAATAAAAAAAGGTGCATGATAATCTTTAATGTCATATATTCAACTCTCATTCCCCACATCGCTTATGGGATTCAGTAATTAAGCTGGTTTACTAATTACAACTTATTTATATCAAATGGCAAGCGTTTTGATAGTTATCATTGGCCCTTTAGTTGACTTCAGACTTCACAGAGAGGAAGGAAAATTAAAGTGAAAAAAGTTAAGAGGGGGGG